GGCTAAATCGAGGAATGCACATTTGCTCGACGCCATCTTGAATTCCGCGCAAGGACCTGGGTCTCAATTATGATGTCATAGTATCTATCATGAATGATGTAATCAAAACAAACGTATTCGCGGGAAAATGAAAATATTGGATTCTGATTGGATAATTGTCGCTCGCACATGCCTAAATACTAAATTGTTATGTATATAAATAAAGCTAGTTTACAGCAGCAAAAATCACAATAAATACACTTTTGATGCTTTTAAATCATAAATAATCATATTATAATGACTTATTTTAGCTTTTGATTTGATATAAAGAAAAATAAACCGATCGAAAAGACAAAATAACAGCATTTCGCGTATCGACATTTTTCACAGTGATTTGTATGCCTTAATCGACACTTAGTCTCTGGCACGCAAATTTACTTTCGTATAGTGAGCACATAGTTGTGTGCACGGTAGATGGAAATTCCGAAAATACCCTTCGATTCTGCATGAAATTCTGTATCAACAGCCCTAGTTTTCCTTTTTCATTCAAAAACTGAACCGAGATATTCGCCGTTTAATACTCTAAAACTCGAGTCTTTACCCTACTATAGGAATTTGTGCACAGAGTAGATAGAAAATCGGAGAACACATTGAATTTGCCATAAAAATCAGCATCTTTTCATAGTAAGTATCTCTAGTCAATTTAATAAAGAGAACTTTTTGTCGCGTGTTTACTTCCTAGCTGACAATAGAAATAAACTACGATGTAGACAAGGGATACATGAGCACTTTAATGGATAACCATTTTACTAATTCATTATTATCATAAGATAACCACAGATGTCCCCAGATTCAAGAGCCGGGCAAAAGCCCTCTGATTTTAGCCTTGCATGTGAAAAAGCTTTCAAGAGTAGTAATCATTAGTAATCGTGGTATTAAACTATTAATAGACTTTATCCTGATTTTATTTTGATAAAATCTTCTTCTATAGCAGTCTTTTTGATATAACTCTTACAGTCAAACCGGATGTTCTGTTCCCATGAGTATTGCAACATTGCAATCAATCTTGCAATGTTGATTGCAAATTGCTCCGAGCAAATTACACGCAAGTATTCAACTGTCAATTTTTTCAAGCTCCTATCACTCCCGTGTTGGGGAAAGGGAATAACAAATCAAAAGGACTAATATTGTGCCTACCACTTGACAAATTAAAGGTAAACTGGAATGTATAGAGGATATTTATACATGGTTGTGCGGAAATATGTAATTTATTTCGAGTGTTTAAGAGAACTATTGCTAACGAGTGAGCGTAGCAAATTGCAAGTTGTTCCATTATGTGATTTAATAATCTAAATTTTTGAGTAAGGTCATGGACATATTGTAATTAAATTATTATGAGTATTTACTATTTTATCTTCGTATCAAACCAAATATATAGCATTGCGAGCTTTAATTGGTATTAAACTCTGCCAGTTTGAGAACATATGTTTACATATTTAACTACCGCAAAATAAATCCCTCTTTGGCACTGAATTTTGCATGTTATTTAGTATTTTTGTATTACGTTAAGATCAAAATGGACATATTTCTTGAATAATACTTTTAATCTGTGAAATGATATATATAAAAATATTAGTCCTCATACTTCGTTTTGGATTTGTTACTCAGTTTTGTGATAGATAGGGGTACCAAAGCCTTGATATTTCCAGAGGTATTAAAATACAAAATTAGCCTGTGACAGTATGCTCCTGATTTTACTTCATACTCGATTTGGAGCAACACAAGTTCAACAAGAACGTACACGATGTACTGTGCAATTATAAAACGTCATATTTATAGATATTTGATTGACATGTTTACGCCATGCATTTCATACCGCACGGGTTTTCCCTGAGTTTTTATAAACAGGACCTGTATTTCCGGCAATTGTTTTATGGTTGAATCTTCACGAAACAATTACAAATTTTAAATAGACACGCAAATTATATTTGCGTATATATCTTGACTGTTATTTAATGGAGGCCTCTGAAACTAGGCTAAACTATGAAAACAAAGCATAGGATAAACGTAGCCCTGTTGTTTTAAATGTCAGAAACTATTATTAGCTCATGACTCCATGTACAGACGTCTTTAATAAATCCACACATTTTACAGCCTTAATTAATTATTTTCTTTAAATTGTTCTTAAAAGTAATGAACTGTATGAATAGCAGATATTTAGCTCCAGATAAAAAGAAACATTTTTGTATGATTGTTATCAGTTGCCGTGATTCGGGATATAAATGGTTCTCGTCCTCTTAATTTAGAAGTCACTAGTTAAATGTAAATATTACATCTGAAGCAGGCATGTAATTTCAACTAGCACAATTTCGCACAATTGCTGTAAAAATGTCATTTCGAGAATGCACCATCAATGAATGCGAAACATTTCTACTTACTGCGAAAGCGGACAAAGTGGGACAATTCAATACAATCGCTCATGTGCAACCACCGTATTTTGCAGGCACAAGCTCTCGCGACGAATTTCGCCGTCGTGGAATCAGACCTTAAGATTCAGACACACCGGACGCGCTTCGACAACGCGACGCGATTTTTCAGTATAATTAGTTTGAAAAACAGCCAATGAGAGCAAATCAGTTACAAACATATGTAGACCAAGTAACTTAGAATGTTATAGCGCTTCTAAATATTTGGAAAATATAAACTTGGATTAAATTTAACGGTCAGTGAAAATCGAAAAATCGCGTCGCGTTGTCGAATCGCGTCCAGCGTGTCTGGACCTTTAATGCGCAGATACATGTACGCGGTCGCGTACCTATTTTTATACATTTATTACCAAAAGCAGCTGCACCGGAATCGCTGGACTGCAGGTTGCATTTCTGCCAGAGGGCAGTGACGTAACGCTCTTTGGGTAGGGTTAGTTAAAAACTAAGGGACCCCAACATTTACAGGGCCCCCATCAGCCATGGCCTATCGCCCAGAAAATTAGAAAACGTAAAAAAATGCAGGTTAAGAATCAATGGGAAAATGCAAAATTAATAATACTAATTAATAAAGTCTCCATCGACAACGGTAACTGATTTTTTTATTCCACCTCAAATAAAACAAAAGTTATTCTTATTATAACAGTTTTGTTTGTGGAAACACCACGTAAATTTATTACTGCAAAGCTTTCGATCCGTACGCCCGGATCTTCATCAGTGCTATAATAATGTGACGAAGATCCGGGCTTACGAATCGAAAGCTTTGCAGTAATAAATTTACGTGGTGCTTCCACGGCAAAACTATTATATGTTTTATCTCCATGCAAAGAACTTATTATTCTTATTAGTTGTTACATGTGTTGGAGACTGTTATTGTTATAGGCACGGAATTTTCCAGAACATTGTATAAATATTCAATATAAATATAATATCTCAGTCAAACAATGACAACAGTCAACAGGGGCCCCCACACCAAATATGCCTAAGCCCCCTCTTCCCCCGTTGCGCCACTGCCAGAGGGCCTATAGTTAATAAATGTATAAAATTCACACTCGGAATATCCATGTACAAAACCCTTTTACAAGAAATTATTACCATGCACGAATCGTGAGAATGCATAAACCTCCTCGAGGGACTTCATAGTCTGGGACCCCAGAGAGGGGTGGGGCAGGGCAAGCGCCCACTCTGCCCTTTTCTAACGGGGGCAAGCCTTGCCGGCAAGGGGGGTAAAAGTGCCCTTTTAATAAAATGTACTATGTACGTATTGTCCCAAAATATATAGACACGCAATTTTCCTGGGGCCAGTTGCATGTATAAAATTCACTTCTAACTACTTAATTTTTTACTATAATTTTGTAGTTAAGTAGGTGTTAACACTAAAATACGCGATTTCGATTGGTTACTAACTGTAGTTAACTTTAACTACATTTTTGAGCAACCGGCCCCAGGTTTTTTTACCGTTCGTTTTTGGTACTCAGGTAGAAACCGAATCCGAAAAGACACACTTGACAAAACGTGAGGTTTCTCCTTAAAAAACTTCAGTTGCTTGCCTAAACGGTCTAAAACGAAAAGAAAAGATTATCAATTAGACATCAAAGTGTTCTTCAAATTTAAGATAATAGAAGATCTAGACTGCATAGGACGCTACCTACAGAAAAACTACCCTGTTACGCTTGTCTGGGGGGTCAAGACTCGCGTGATTATGCCTCGTGATTCTCTCGCGAGATCAGCTCAAGGAGCGAGCATGCTCTTTCAACAAACAAGAAAAATCTAAAAGTAAAGAGTCTACTAGCAAATTTTACCTGAATAAATGCATTAATAGAAAGCTTCGAAGTTGTTTTTTTTTAAATGTTTTTTTTTAAATTTTTTTTTACTGTCGTTCCAATTGAAGTGTTGCTGAAATATTGATTCAATACATTACCTTGGGCTGACCAATTCATTTCATCAAGTTCCTCGAGATATTCATACACTTCCTAGTATAATTGTAAACTTCCTGTTGAATAGTTTGAATGCACCAATCACCTTTGTTGTTTGTGCAACTAACCAATCATAAATAGAAAGGAAGTGACCAGAAATGATCAAATACTTGGAATTGGCTCTTTCACAGGAAGTGTATGAATATCTCGAGGAACTTGATCAAATGAATTGGTCAGCCCGAGGTAATGTATTGAATCAATATTTCAGCAACACTTCAATTGGAACGACAGTAAATTTTAAGCCGTGTTTCAAGAATACGTTACATATTCATGTTAACGGATTGACCGCGCTCTTCGCATACGTGAAAAGACTGGGACTGGCCTTCAAGTTTGACTTCAAATTTGCGGTTGGAGGTTCCAGTTATATTCATTTCAATGGTATTGGTCTTACTAACCTACAGAAAACAGCAACGTCAAGCGCGAGTATACGCGTGAAAAATGTACCAAAATAAATACGGGAAAAGCGTTTACTATAAGGAAACGGCTGAAGCTATAAGGTGGGGGAATTTTCTTTGTGTCAAGAGGAAATTATACAGCATTTTATAACAAACCATACCTCGGTTTGCGGTGATTTTATAGGGATAGCTGCAGTTCGCTTTCGGGCAGAACTCGTCTGAGCAGGTTGTGCTGGTTGTACTAAAACCTGTCGAACAGGTTGCATGGTCTGCATAGGTGGACCTGGACTGCCTTGCCGCGGTGGTGGAACTTGCATATTTTGCTGGTAGTATCCCGCCGGGGGTGCCACGTCAGGCTGATAGACCTGAAACAAAAACACATATATTTTATTATTCGGTACCGTATTTGCTTGTTTAGGTGTAGAGACACAAAACCATTTACTTAAACAAAAATTGTACAATGTTTGTGATGTTACTCTGAGTGTATATCCACACCGGGCCACACACTGGCCACGGTGGGAACTGTGGCCAGGCATATTTGCTCTGGCAACTGAGCTACGCCAATACTCTGCCAACTGAGCTACGCGGTCAGGTCGGTTCGAGTATGTGATATTTCGGAACTGAGTCTAGTTCCTCTGATACCAATGCAATCTAGTAATCATGATTTTTTTTTGTACTGTACAGTTGGGAAAAAATTTAAAACTTTTTGAGAATCCTACTTCTACAAATTGTAATTTTATTTTTCTTCCTTTAACTCCTCATTCAGGGTCACTTTTCTTGCTTCAAACTCCTGACTTTTTTCCAACAACTCCCCCCCCCCCCTCAGAGAGGATAGCAAATGGTAATTATATGTACCCATAAAACAGACGAACTACGACTGTGGATATGATCAAATGCGCTTTACATCAAGTATTATACGCTCATCTAATTACATACTTAGCCTAGACTACCTTATCTTTACAACAACTGTGATATTACTTTCTTGACTGTGTTTATCCTAACCCACCCTGTCAACTTTTCTTGTGCGAGGAAACCGGAGCACCCGGAGACAACTCACGACTTTCGGCAGAGCGTTGACAGACTCTTTTCACATGAGTCTACAGCGAGAATCAAACCCACGAACTCAGAGGCGAAAGGCGCTTGCTCTGACGCCTGCGCCACCGAAGCCCCTGTAAACTGGGGAACCTGGTTAACTATTAAACGAACTATGATTTCTTTGCGCAAGTTCGTCCACACAAATCATCATTCTCTACAGTAGTATATGTGAAATCGTAACATCAATAAAGTTCGAAGGATCACTCAGTATTACCTGTTGTGGAATGAACGGCATATTCGGCATCATTTGAAAGCTACATTAGAAAAACAAAAAGTTAGTGTCTTAGTTTATGTACATTTCATCTCTGTGCCCGGGGTTCCATTACTGCAATATACAGTTATCCCATTGTAACCGTAGGTTTCCCCCAGTTATTCCATTTTCTCCCTGTAATGATACAGGACCAATAAGGATGAACCTATCTGGACCTCTAGGGAGAACAATTCAGAACTGATAGAGCTATCCAGTATAAATAAAGTTAGTTTAGTTTAGGTTTCCTCCTGTAGTAACACTGGATCAATAAGAGATGACTCTTAATTACTGGATCTCTAGGAAGAACCGTTTCGAACTGATAGAGCTATCCAGTATAAATAAAGTTAGTTTAGTTGAGGTTTCCTCCTGTAGTAACACTGGGTCAATAAGGATAAACCTATCTGGACTTCTATGGAGAATAATTCAGAACTGATAGAGCTATCCAGTATAAATAAAGTTAGTTTACTTTAGGTTTCCTCCTGTAGTAACACTGGGTCAATAAGAGATGATCCTTACTGGACCTGTAGGGAGAACAGTTTAGAACTGATAGAGCTATCCAGTATTAATAAAGTTAGTTTACTTTAGGTTTCCTCCTGTCGTAATACTGGGTCAATAAGAGATGATCCTTACTGGACCTCTAGGGAGAACAGTTTAGAACTGATAGGGTTATCCAGTATAAATAAAGTTAGACTAGTATAGGTTTCCCCTTGTAGTTACTACACTTGATCAACAAGAGATGACCATATCTGGAGCTCTAGGGAAAACTGTTCAAAACTGATAGAGCTGTCCAGTATAAATAAGTTTAGTTTCGATTTCCTCCTGTAATGATACTGGATGGATAAGGAATGGCCTTGCTGTACCTCCATGGAGAACTATACAGAGCTATCCAATATAAACAAAGTTAGTTTGGTGTAGATGTACTTACTGTGGAGGTGTGAAAACCATGCCAGTATTAGGATCAGCGAAATTTTGAGAGGGGTCATATTGTCCGGTTGGCATTGTAGGCATGTTTGGTACGTATTCGCCGGTAGGGGTATTTGGCGGAGGTGCCATAGCGAAGTGCCCATTCTGAAGCATGATCGGGCGTAACATTGCTGGGTTTATTTCTACAACAGAAAACGTAAAGTACAGTAAAGGCAAACAAGAAAGCATCTTTATATTCAGCCAAGCACCATGTAGATACGCAGAACTCGCGAAACATTTTGCTAGTATCACATGTCCAGCAAATCGGTAGTTGTAAATCTTAGCATAAATCATGATTTGACTAAATGAGATGATATATGCATTCGCGTTCCTTCTTGTTTGAACCCGTATATTCAGGTTCCTGAATTAATGACTTTCAGAAAACTGATATTTATCTTAAAGATTAAGTACACCTTGAGTATTAAATTTTTACCAGCTCAAGTACGCGGCAATAATCATTGGAGTCGGGTACTGTACAGCGATAAATTATGAACTACCACACGTAGACTTGCTCCAAGTCTCTCTTTCATTGACATATAGTATCGATCCACTATAGTGTACATTACATGACGTAGTACCGAGGGGCGGAGCGAGAAAGAGAGACTTGTCAACTTCGGAAAATCTCGGTTCAAAACTGAACCGAAAATGCAAGACTTGCTTTAATTGTTTTCCTTCAATTTCTTTCTATATTATTTACTATAACGGAACTCATGTTATTTACACTGCTAACTCGTGCTAGATCAAGACATATAAACACTGACAGAAAACAATTAAAGCAAGTCTTGCATTTTCGGTTCAGTTTTGAACCGAGATTTTCCGAAGTTGACAAGTGTCTCTTTCTCGCTCCGCCTCTCCGTGCTACGTCATGTAATGTACACTATAGTGGATCGATACTATATGACAATGAAAGAGAGACTTGGAGCAAGTCTATTATACTACACGTTGCTTCGTGTAAACAGGACTAAACTGTTCTTGACGAGCTAACGTTCTCCGCGCATATATTTATACGGCAAAACGTGACTTTTTAAACATAAACAATCAAACTATCAAACAAAGAAACAGTCAAACACACACATACGTACCTTGTGTATGTAACGTTGGCTGTTGAGGATAGAACATTGGTGCAGGGTAACCTTAAAGTCAATAAATACATCAATTTAAGAACATATTAGAACAGAAAGAGTTACAGGTAGTTTTTCTCCCTTCAGTAACACTGAATCAATGATGGATGGGCCTCACTGAACCTCTAGGCAAAACAGTTATTAATTGACAGAGCTGTTCAGTATATTAACAAAATTATTTTAGTTTAAGTTTATTTCAAGAAAAGTAACACTCCACAGTTGAAAGACAATCTTTGGAGCATAAGGGAGAACACTTTAGAACTGATACAGCTATAGCCAGTGTAAATATAGTTAGTTCAGTTTAGGTTTCTTCCTGTAGTAACACTGGACAATTAAATTACAATTATTACTGGATCTCTAGGGAAAACAGTTTAGGGCTGCTAGTGCTATCCAGTATAAATTAAGTTAGTTCAGTTTAGGTTTCTTCCTGTAGTAATACTCGACAAATTAAAGGACAATCTGACTAGACCTCGGGAATATAAGTGTTAGTTCAGTTTTAGCATATTGTTTTACCTTGAGGAGTAACATAAATGATCTGTGGCTCTCTTTGTGATGTTTCTGGAATGGCGACAGGTTGCATCGGAGTTTCAACAGCTGTTGTCATTACAGGTTTCTGACGTTGAGCGGAGTAACGCTTATTACCACTGGAAACTGGCTCAGGCACTGCAGTTAAAAATACCAGGTGTCATTATGCGGTTACTGTTATATAGTTAAAAATTTAGACTAAATATTTACGGGAAACATTCTGCGGGTTTGTGAGGTCTTTACTTACGTTTTTCACTCTCGAACACTTCACCTGCATTCCCCTCATCACCACTTGCATCTAGGAAACGTTAAACAGAATTTTTATCACTCAGAATCTTGCAACAATTGAATTCCACACATGCAGAATGCGACTTTTGAAACAGGCCTAACTAGAAAATGTTGAAGAGTTTTTGTATGTGGAAATGTCCATTGTAAATTTTATACATTTTTTAGACCTAACGAGGAGCAGCTGCACAAAATGCTACTCTATAAATATAGGCCCTCTGGCACGAATGGATCATTCCCCAATTAACCAAAATTTTGAACTCAACAAGTCTAGACAAAAATTTAATCACAGCTTGAAAGAGCATCACAAAATTAGTAATATTCCAAAGTTTCGTTGCAAAATGTTGTAAAATGCGGATAATAGAGCATTGCGAAATTTGCAATTTTCAGTCATTTTAGATTACAAACACGAAATGGTTACCACTTCTGTGCGTAATACAAAATGACTGAAAATTACAAACTTCGCAAGGCTATATTATCCGCATTTTACAACATTTCGCAACGAAACTTTGGAATATTACTAATTTTGTGATGCTCTTTCATGCTATGATGGAATTTTGTCTAGACTTGTTGAGATCAAAATTTTGGTTAATTGGAGAATGGTCCATTGAACCTGAGGTGCAGAGTCATAGAAATAATACACAATATTTCTAATATTGCTATGTGCAGAGTCCAGTTAAGAACTAAATGTTGAATGGTTTATAACGAGGCTGCCCAAAATCCTGGTACGTACTAGTAAATGTCCCAGATTCCACAGCGGGCATTTCTTCAGCCGTAAGCTCTACACTTTTCCGTCTCTCCAGTTCCGCTTCCCGCGCAAAGTCGGCCGCGTTTTTCTTTGGTTTAGTAAGTGGCTTTCCACGACCTATGCCTTTGTTCCGCATTTCACTCCATTTCTTTGCACTTCGGACTTCCGAAACGACTTCCGTATTCCTATCAATATAAACAGATTAAGATTAACATTTCTATAGCGCAAACTTACATGCGGATATGATCATATGCGCTTTACATCAAGTATCACGCTTACCTAATTACATACCTAGCCTATACAATGGACCATTTGCATTATAGACTAAATTTTGATCTAGACAAAAATTTCATCACAGCTTGAAAGAGCATCACAAAATTAGTAATATTCCGAAGTTTCGTTGCGAAATGTTGTAAAATGCGGATAATATAGCCATGCGAAGTTTGCCGTTTTTCAGTCATTTTGTATTACGCACGGGAAATTGACAGCCCAGTCGGGTGTTGGGGCATCAATTTCCCGTTTGTAATACAAAATGACTGAAAATTGCAAATTTCGCAAGGCTATATTATCCGCATTTTACAACATTTCGCAACGAAACTTAAGAATATTACTAATTTTGTGATGCTCTTTCAAGCTGTGATAAAATTTTTGTCTAGATCAAAATTTAGTCTATAATAATGCAAATGGTCCATTGTGATATTACTTTCTTAACTGCGTTTACACCACGGCAGTTTATTGTAGAATACTACAAACACTGGACTACCAAGTTTGAGATATTGTTTTCAGGTAGTTCAGATACAAACTACGGCAGCTTACAGAGAATACTATCTACACTGGACCACCACTTTCTAGATATCTTTTCCAGGTTGTTCAAGAACAAACCAGGGCTGTTTACTGTGGAATACGTCCACATGAGATATGAATACACATTACATTCCAATCTGGTAATTGCTCTTTAGATCAGCAATGAAATTGTTATTGCTTGCACATGTTACTGTACCTTCAGGAAAGAGTGTACTTAGTACATACGGAATTCACTCAATATCTATTTCTGGTAAATAATATCGCAAGTGAGAAGATTGCTTTCAGTCTTTACCAAATACCGCAGGTTTTCCCCGAGTACTCTCCAGTCTCAACCCTGAGTACTCTCCAGTCTTCGACCACCACAATGACCAATTAACAATTAGTCGCCGAAGACGAGGTGATTACAAGTCCATATTCACTAAGCCGAAGGTAAAGTGAAGATAGGCTAATTGTAATCACCGAGCCTGAGGCGACTAATTGTTTTAGTATAATTTCAGTATTGAAAAAGTTTTATTTATAAATACAACAAACACACGTGTTTATTTTATGAATATAATTTGCATAAATAATTTGCTTCCGTCTGAATCTCAGCCATGTTTTTTTTTGAAAAGCAATAGTTACTGCTCAGAGTAGTCTCAGCAGTAACTATTACCTCAGGGTTACTGCTGAGGGAGCCAATCAGAATATTCAAAGGCCATTTTTCAATACTGAAATTATAATATTAAATAGTGAATAGCATAGTATTGTCCATAGCATAGTTACCTTCTATTTTCTGTTTTTTCTTCTTCCTTCGGCGACTTTTCCTCTGCCGGTTTCTCGACTTCATTATCACTTTTCTCACTGGCAGTTCTTCTACGTCCCCTGCGATCATTTCTCTCGTCTCTTCCTCGTTCACCATCCTGCTCCTCGTCTTCGCGAGTCTTCGGAGAACGAGGCTGTGAAAAATTGAAAATGACAGTACGGGAGTTTCACTTAAGCACTATCGTGCAGCAGATGGCGACAGGCTTTTAGCCAGGGGGTACAAACTGGCAACCTATTTTTGCGGATGTGATAAAAAATATGTCGCTTGAAATCATATGCTCATAATAGAGTCAGTCAGAGTACTTGATAACACGGAGGCAATATTCAGTTGTCTGATTTCTATTCGGTCATATGTGAAAAGAGTGCTTCCAGTTCGACTCTACCAAACATGGCTGTTTTTTTACTCCGGTTTCATCCTGTAGTGTAACTCTGGATCATTAAAGCGATCGTCCCTTGAGACAGAGTTACGTTTACGAGTATTGTGAGGGATGGACACCACAGATAAATTAAAATAAGCCTTAACAGATACTAGATACAATAATCCACAAACCTTTCTGCGGTCTCTTCGGTCTTCGCGTTCGGATTCCTGGCGTCGTTCTTTCGGTGGCGTCTCGTTTCTTCTCGGCCGATCTTCGTCATCGCGACGCTGAGATCTTTCCGGCTTCACTTCGCGTTCCCCTTCAAAGCTATCACGAGGTCTTTGATCTCCATCTGTTTGTTTTTCAGTTCTTTCATTTTGTCTTTTTCTTTCATCTCCACCTTCGGTCTTCCTGTCATCCTTTCCCTCGTCCCAGTTTTGTTCAGTGTCTTCGCGTTTCTTGTCCCCAGGATTTCCAAAGCCTCCTCCTCTCTTTCTCCCCCTAGTGTCATTTTCTCTCCCCTGTCTCTCGTCTCGTCTGTCATTGCCAGCTCGTTCTTCGCGTCTTACGTCATCCCGATTTCCAAACCCCCGCCTGTCCCTATTTTGTCCCCTTGTATCACGTCCTCTTGTATCCCTGTTATATCCCTTCTCCCCCTCTTCATCCCTCATGTCTTCGCGTTGTTTGTCCCTGTTCTGTCCCCTAGTGTCACGATTGAATCCTTCACCATCGCCTTGTCTATCTCTGTTGCGTCTTCTATTCTCCCGGTCATATCCCTTCTCCCCCTCTTCATCCCTCATGTCTTCGCGTTGTTTGTCCCTGTTCTGTCCCCTAGTGTCACGATTGAATCCTTCACCATCGCCTTGTCTATCTCTGTTGCGTCTTCTATTCTCCCGGTCATATCCCTTGTCACCCCCTTCATCCCTCCTGTCTTCACGTTGTCTGTCCCTATCTTGTCCCCTAGTGCCACGATTGAACCCTTCACCATCGCCTTGTCTATCACTGTTTCGTCCTCTATTATCCCGGTCATATTCTTTGTTACCCCCTTCATCCCTTCTGTCTTGCCGTTGTCTGTCCCTATCTTGTCCCCTAGTGCCACGATTGAACCCTTCACCATCGCCTTGTTTATCTCTGTTTCGTCCTCTATTATCCCGGTCATATTCCTTGTTACCTATCGTCTTGCTGAAAAAATGAAAAACATTAAGTCGTATTTTGTCATTTAGAAGTTGCTGTGATTTCTAGTGCGATTTTCTAGGACTTTCCAGTAGATCCTTTCTTAAAAGTCTAACATGGCTTTCTAAAGAACCTTATCCCGTATTGGTGTTACTCTATTTACCTTGCAAGTATAATTAATAACAAATAAACAAACAAATAAGTAAGTGCATTATCACCTTGTTTTTCTCCTCACGTTGTCTATCCCTATTGGGTCCCCTATTGTCACGCTCGAATCCTCTTTTGTCATCCTTACTTCTCCCACCATCTTCCTTCCGTCTACCATCATCACGTCCCCTTCTACCCTTATAACCACCCTCATCACTCCTTGCATCACGCTGGGATCCCTCTTGCCTGCTCTCTCGACTCTGGATTCGTCCATCTTGTCTCTCATTCCAGTTTTCCTTGTTCTCGTTTTCGGCTTCATTATCGCCCCGATGTTTCTGCGCGCTATCTTTAAAACTATCGTAATCTCGTCGAGAAGCATTCCTGTTTCTGTCGTTGCGTACTTCCCTGTCATCAGTCTTGTCTCCTTCATTCCGCCTTCTGAAAGAATTCGGAAACATTCAGGTAAGAGGAGGTAGATCATTGGTAGAACTTCTGCACTCAGTCAGCCCATTAATGAGGAAAACTGCTAAGGTATTTCAAGATATAGTCGGCAAAGTTTCGATCCACCGGTAGAATTTCGAGATTAAGATAAGATTAAAGGTCCAAGAAAAATATTACTGTAGGTGACTCAAGCATAATTAAGAACTATTTAAAGTCACCATTTGAACCTTATTTCGCCACAAATAAGTCGAAATAAAGTAAACCAAAATGCGCGGGAAAATTCTTGACTGAGCCCACAATATCATACATTGAATGCTCAGCGACATGACCATTTTTCTGTGCAATTTGTGGTCGTGTATTGACCCAAGAGTATCCCACAATGCACAGTGAATTGCAGAAGTCCTCTATATTAAAAATTGTATGGTCTAAGGTCTATTGTTTAACTAAACTAAACTCATGAAAACAGCTCACCTTCCAAACCGTCCGCGGTTGTCTTCTTTCACAAAATCTTCCAAAGTACGTCTTCCTCTTCCTCGCCCTCTACCTCTGTTCTTAAGTGATTCAATAAATTGAGCTGATTCCTGGCAAGATATCAAAAAACATGAAACACGAGTTAAAGATGAAATACGAATTAAATACGAGTTGTCGGCTCGATATTTTCGAAAACAAGCGCCCGTGCTCCATGTTTCGAGCAAAGCTTCTTCCTCATGGCTGAAGGAAACATCGAGAGACGCCATGTCCAATTGATAGTCTGAGGAGCTAACTCAAAAGGTGCATTTCAAAACTGCAAAACTTTATAGTTGAAATAGGTTACAGGCCAACTGCAATTATAATTATGTGGAACTATAGTTATCTAAACCTAGAGTTAATGGCTGAAAACTCAAACATTTCTTGGCTACCACAATGCACATAAAAACAATTTGCAGGCATGCTGTTCCTCCTGGAGGTGACATTACTTTCAGAGGGCCCTTTTGATTCATGTAAATCAGACACAAACTACTTATCATACAATGGTGTGTGTACCTGCAGCTCTTCTTTTGTCTTGGGAGCTTGGTCGGCTTCCACATACCGATCATGCATCCATTTTGTGTCGAACTTATCCCAAAGTTTGCGATTTCTTGCATTATTTCTGTGTAATATAACAAGAATAATACTCAGGGTTGAAGAATACTATAGACAGTGCTTTTGGTATATGTACAATGATGCAACTTATTACCTATCTTCTTCATAACCATCCATCCAACGATTATCATGCGACCAGAATCGCATACTTGACACATTCCTTTCTTCAGGTTCTTTCTACATTTACAGAAAAATTCACAAAATATTTCACAAAAAATGTGCAGCTAACTTTCGTCACTGATGCCTGTTATATTAAAACCATTTTTCTTACATATGTATTCAATGTTTCATGTCATTGTTGAGTGTAGTGCAAAAGATGCACCTGTGACTAAGCTTGCGTGTATGTTGTACATATATGTTGTATACATGAACATATATGTTGCACATGCCTTCCAATATATGTTCTCAATCCATTTTGGTTCTTGCAAACACCCATGAAAGTTAAACAGCATTCAACTGATTGCCCATGTTGTCAAAGTAGGTTCCTTCTCCATGTGGGCAATCCTTAATTTCCAGACAAGGGCCTCAAACTCACCTTTTTGTCTTCTTTATTTTCTTGCCAATCATCCTTCTCATCCTGTTTCTCCTTTTTCACAACTTTTCCTTCTTCATCGACATCTTCCTCCTCCTCGACAACAACATCTTCGTCATCACCGTCGTCCACAATCTCACCCTCCTCTAATTCACCCGCATCCCCTTCACCCTTATCCACATCTTCACCAACGTCATCATCTACTATCTCACCCTCTTCACGTTCTTCCCCCGCCTCCTCATCATCATCTCCATCATCCCCTACCTCCTCTTCACCCTTACCTGGCTCTTCAACTTCGTCACCATCATCTACAATCTCCCCTTCCTCTAATTCTTCACCGCCTTCGTCATCCTCATCCACCTCGTCATCTTCACCCGTCTCCCCTTCATCTGTATCTTCACCTTCACTTTCATCATCTTCACTTTGATCATCTTCACTTTGACCATCTTCGTCCCCTATCTCTTCCTCTTTATGATCTTCCACCTCATCTCCCACACCGTGCTCTTTATCTGCTGCCCCTACACCACCATCAGCTGTCTCACCATCCTCAACGTCAACATGCTTATCCTGTTCATTGAGGTTATCACCACCACTAACACCATTAGACTCTTGAGGAACATCATTCTTGTCCTCCTCCATGTTATCTGGGTCCACATTATTCACATCATCGTCATGCCCTTCTTTGGCATCTTCAAATTCTTCATCATCATCAATCTCGCCTTCTCTGTTCTCAGGAAGTGGACTGCCATCACCATCTTGAACCACATTGGCTTCTTGATTTTCACTATCGTCATTTCCAGTATCATCAACCTCCTATTAATATCATGAATTAAACTGCTGTGTATTCAACTGCAACTAATACTATTTACGTCTATGGTTTGATAGTGTTTCTCAGGTGATGCTAATGGCTCTACAAATATACTAGAGATAGATTATCTAGTCTTATAAATCACAAGATGAACAATCCTGATGGACCAACTGTCAATTGGCTGTCAAGACAATGTGACCACATTCTTAACGTCACAAAATCGACACAAGAAATTATGCTGAAAATATTTTTGACATTTCAGCAGAAAAAGGCGCAGGAATGTAGTTGCCAGGCCTCAAATTTCCCTGAAATCAATCAATGGCAATGGCGTTAAAAATTGCCGTACAACGTAACAGCTGTCTACGGCAATTTTGGCAGTTTCCACAGCATTTTTCAAATTACTGTACAGTAATAAAGCTTTAATTTTATTGTTACTTTGGATTTTTGACAAGCTAGAAACATGTCTACATGTTTCTTTAGTGGGGGTTTTTTTCCGAAGAAAACTGAGACTAAAATAGTGATTTACATACGATTTGATCAACATCTGAATTCAAGTATCAAAGTAGTAATGCACAGTGAATTGTATAAAAATTGCACTATACGGCAAAAAATTGCAGTCGTTACTGCAATGATCCACAGCATTTTGTTCTCCCTCTACGGCAATTGCCGCGATAAAACTCAAGCCCTGGTAGTTGCATACCCAATTTATCAAAATTGCAAGGACTGCCCATGTGCAGTTTGCCACAGAAATATTTCTTTATTTCCATGCTGGGCGAAAACAAAGACAGTTCTTTTTGATAATTTTATTTTAGAATGCATTTATTTCCCTAGTCTAGCCCATAATCAATGGAGATATTTCTGCTTCATTTTAAAAGTGAAAAGTTGTCTATTTTGAAGTTATACTACAATTTATTGAGCAAATGCTTTGAATTGTTCTTGTTTCGAAAACACTGACACCGAACCAAGATAAAATTTCTGAAATCACGCAGCTCTACTGTTTACCAACACCACGGTCAAACGTCAATGGTAATTGATGAAATTGGCCCAGGTTTTTTTTGTGACTATCAACTGGTCATCAGTTGTCTGAGAACAATCAATATGATCAATTTTTATCGAGAACTTTACAGTTTACAGCACCCAGAGTAACTCAATTTTTTCGATGGCATGTATTCTAATGGCAAGTTTTCCATTCATTTATGTGTTTTGGGGGACATACGTATTCAGTAGTGATTACTTGGGTACGGTAAAATGTCCTTTTTTATCAAATAAGTACGTTGGTACTATATGTAAAAGATGAAATGAATCTATTGCTAAAAAGCTATATTTCTGCAAGAAGCTAGACTCGATTTGTATGTCCTAAGCTACAAGTTCAAACCTGCTTCGAACAATATGCATATAGCTGTAGAAATTTCCATTTTACTATGTATGACAGCATGACTATGCCATTTTAATATTGATTATATTGTTAAAATGGCGGACATTCCTTACCGCTTCTGGTGTTATTTCGCCATCTTTGTTTGTGTTTTTTTCATCCTGTGCACTCATGATAATACTTAGTTTCCTTAGCAATCCAGATCGTGATAAATTTCCTTCTTTTTGCACTTGGTTTCACTATTATATTGAAGCCTTTTGTAGTTTGCTGACATGTATAAATTTCAAACGACGCCAGCATTCGACCACGCTTTCTATGAAGTACTTCGCCTAAACAATGCCACTGACACACATGTAGTCATGCAGACTCAAAGGACAGGGGGGGGGGAGAAGGAAAATTTTATTTGTGATGGGGGTGTGAAAAAGTTAGCAAAAATGGTAAAAATATTTAAAACCTAACTTTGTGTTAGCTTTATTTTGTAGTTTACACATTTAGCAACCTTTTTAAATGTATATCTGGCAGTTGAGAAACACAAAATAATAGTGAAATATTGTCAATTTGAATACCGATTATCATTGATGCTGTAAAATTGACGCCGCCATATTCGTACAGCAATATATGCAAACGTTACTGAACTTCATTTTGTCTTTGGCGTATACCATCTAAAGTTTCTTCATTTTAGCATCATTTTACAGATAAAGCACTAAACGTCATTTTTAAGTCTGTTTGCCGAAATGTATCAAAAATTCAAAAAAATTTGAATATATTAGTACTGAAGATTTTCCTCTTAATTAAAATAAATGCAGACATTCCAACTCTCCCTATTTTACCGGGAGTCTCCCGAAAATTCATGCAATCTCCCGGTCTCCAGATTTTTATCAAATTCTCCCGATTTTTCAGAATATTCAGGAAATATCATAAAAAATTATAAATATACTGTTTTTAGCGACATAATAGTCTGTCTTGACCATTTTTGAAGTTGCTTTATGGCAATTTATAGGATCACTTATAATAACATAGTCCCAAAATGCAGGAAACGCCATTTCAGAAGACTTAATTTTTATTATTTTTGCCCAGAAGAACTAGATTTCAATTCACTGAACAGAGTCTCCCTAAATTTTACCTCCAGTGGTTGGAATGTCTGTAAATGGTAAAAATATTTAAAACCATAATTAAATAAAAAGTTTCTTTAATTTCTTAAAAGATTGTCATATGAGTCTAGATATATTCTTTAGCTGTGAACAAGTCAGAGTTTCTTTGTACCGACCAAAACTATCTGTCCCGCACTCGTGTTTTTTCAGAGGACTCTGCCATGACTATGATGTTCTTGATCATGAAGAGTTTATTTCTTTACATCGATGAGTAAAACAGCCATGATTTTGATCAAAATGTAATGCCAAGGATCTGTCTCGACCCCTTGAAGAAAAATTAAAAACATGTTTCCAAATGACATGGAATTTGGATTGACGAAACATTACTCAAACAGGCTAATCACTACTAGGGACGGGCAAAAAAATGTTCTTCTAAAGTCACAGTACTACACGCGTAAAAATCGTACATCTTGTAGCAAGTCTGCCGACAAGTTGTGTTCGCACTACTTATCCCAAGTTGTCAACAAGTTTGGAACAAGCTGTTAACATCTTGTAACAATCTTGTTGATATTATCAGACTTGTTGCAAGGTTGTTCCAACAAGTCCAATACAGTCATGATGAACAATATTGTTACAACCTTGTATAATATATTTGTTAGATCATGACTGTATCAGACTTGTTAGAACAACCTTGCAACAAGTCTGATAATGCCATCAAGCTTGTCACAAGTTGGTAACAGCCTGTTCCAAGCTTGTTACAACAAATAGGAACAAGCAGTGCGAACACAACTTGTCAACAGCTTGTGAACAGATTTGTAACAACTTGTTTGCAGATCCGTAACAACTTGTGCATTTTTACGTGTGTAGGGCCTATTTTGCGACATTTTCAATAGTGTGCACTTCAGAGAATGTGCATTCCATTTAAGAAAATTTAAAAGTGCTCATTTTCACCAGTGGTGGTCGAAATTTGTGACCACATTTTACGTAAGTGCAGGGATCCTCCCTTGGGAAATTATGAAGTCTCTAAAAATGCCATTTCCTCTATACTTTGGGGAGATTTTGTAAAAATTCTAAAGGTAGCAAATTTCAATTTCAGAACTGTCTATTTTACGTTTTAGAATTATACACACTTTGAAAATGATCCTGAATATTGTGTAACGCAACATCTGTTTATTTGGTTAAAAATTGTTGAAAATTATTCTTTGTATTACCGTTTAGTTCGCAAAATCAAAAATTCATGATTTGGCAAGTCGTGTTTGTCTGCGGCCTTTGTATCATTGTAGACATCAAAACACATCTAAAACAAATGGACATTGTTGAAACATAATTATAGCTGAAATTTCCATGACAATCTCGACAATTCAGGCTGTAAAACGAAATTATCCAAACCTGGAGTCTTCTCAATTGATTGGATAGTATATTGTCCTCGCAATCTCCTGTAAACAGTTCTTCATAGAAAACATTCACCTCTGTTTCCAAGGCCTACAAATAATCAGTCTCAAGTTATACTGGATAGCTCTACCAGTTCCAAACTGTTCTTCCAAGAGGTCAAGTATAAGAGCTATCCCTATGGATCCTAAGGAGAAAACCTAAACTTAACTGGCTACTGTATTTCCACTCTTTATCACATCTAAACTGTTCTCCCAACACGTCCAGTAAGGGTCGTCCTTAATTGATCCAGGACCGGTTGTTCGAATGTCGATTAGCTAACCCTAGGTTAACCTAAAATTCAAAGCAACTTCCCAACAGCTTAATTGTTTACAAATTTGGAAACATTTTGTTCTCTGAAGTTTTGAAATAAACAGACGTGCAAAGATACACAAGCTAAAACAGCGGGTTAAATTTTAATCGAGGTCCAGTCATTACTATAGGAGGAAACCTAAACTAAATTAACTTTATTTATACTGGATAAATCTATATACTGTATCAGTTCAAAATGTGTTCTTACTACGGGTCCACTAATGGCCATCACTTTTTGGTCCACACATCTTGTTGACAGCTATAGTTGACTAAACAAGCTTGTGGCAAGTTTGTTGACAAGTTGTAACAAGCTTGTTGTCATCAAGTTTGTTACAACTTGTTGATTTGCAGACCTATATAACCACTGTTGCATACATTGGGGGAAGTTATATACAAACATACGAACCCTAATGTAGTCATTCTTGATGTAGGAACCATTACTTGAAACTGCCAAAGTAAACAACGGTGGCCTCACGGGATAATCAGACAGCACAATGACAGCGGCCTTTAGTTTCACTGAAATACAACAATCAAGACTTACAACAAAATTTAAGTACTGTAACTTGTGGAGTTTAAATGAAGTCGAATCATCTATACCTTTGTCTTTTGAAAATGTTGCTACGTACAGAAGATCATTTTCCGTTATACATTCAACTTGCGTAGAATGATCGACAAACGATAATTCCTGAAAAATTACATTCATGTAAGATGAGTGGACCAAAGCAATATGCAGTAAATAAGATGTTTAACACTTCTAACGATAAAAGTGAATGAGAAATATTTACTGAAAAATCCGAGGTGGTTAACGGTGTCCATGATTCTAGTTTGCTCAGAGTCTTAACAGGAAATAAACGTCGTCCTTCTTGACTGAGTTGTATGTTTAGAGATTCTAAATAGAAGAAACCTTCCATCGTCACTTCCTGTAACCTTGCTTACCCCAGACAAAATGACCCCAGGCCATTAACGGTAAACCATGAACTTCCTTACCTAGGGAATGCAACTGACTTTGTAATGAGATTCTAGTTAAGACCCTCGTTTTGATTGCTTGGACTGTGCGTTCCATGTGCGAAGCACTGACCGATGGTTGTACAGGCTGAGTCTAACAAAACAGAAGAGATGTGGTCAAATGCTTACACGCGCGCGGGTGTTAAGGTTACAGGACACCCCTTTTGGCGTTTTGTGGAAAATCGCTACTGCGCGCTCAATATCAGTCCGATTTGAATAAAATTTTCACCAAATGTTCGCCAGTGTATGCAAAATATGGTAAAGTTGTAAAATTAACAAACAATAAAATAATATAAGAATTATTCAGGAAAATCTTAAATCGCGGTACCGTTACGCTTTTGAGTTGTGCTCCTGCTGGTTTTAAGTTATATTTATGAAAATATCATTTTTATACAGTAAAATAGTTGTTCTAAAAAATTGTGTTCGGAAATTTTTGTTTATTTCGTCATTCCGCTGATATGGCGATTTCTTTGACGACTGCAATATATTTATGAATTATTTGAGTGAATTGCTCTTTATTATTAAAATATCCAAAATTAAAAAAAGGCCGAACACAATTTTGAAACTGACGTCTGTAGCTATGTCCTGTGAAAATTTGAGAAAAATTGGTCAAAACCCGCAGGAGAACAACTCGTTTGAAAATCAGTAATTACCGTAAAATTCTTCGGGAGAAAATTGAATTTGAATATTACATTTTCAATGTTTTTCTTATTGCAGCGAAATGTATTTTATTAAATAACTCTGCGAGTTTTCAACATTTTTCGTTCAAACTTGGTCAGATAGTAGAACTAGTCTAATGCTTTCATGGAAACCAATAAAAAATTTTTTAGGCAAAATTAACACTCAAAGGTGTTCTGTAACCTTAATAATCAGCAATGAATGCTTACAGCTATATACGAAATTTGATCTATAGACAAGAAGAGCGAAAACAAGTGAAAACATAGCCTCCTGGTCGAGGTAAAATAAACAAACCTCGTGCGTTTCTGAGTCCAAGGGAGGAAAGTCGAGTCCACATATCCTTTGTACCCAGATGTAAGGATGACCAACATTGAGTTTATGAAATGCCACATCTTTTACACTGTTAAAAATGAAAGGAGAGCGGTTCAAACATTTCTTTAGTCTAAGGTGACTGGAATACCTGGAGATAAACTGTGATGTTTTGTAGAGTCGATCTGGAAGCACTCTGCTCACGCGCGATTGAAATGGACTTATATTACCAACTTACCCCAAGTTGTTTAGCTGATAGTGATTGGCTGGATTTGGGGTGACGTCACCAAAGTCTTGAGGAAAAAGACAGGTCAAAACGGAATCTGCAGACAGTAATGATCTAGAAACAAATAACAGAAGTAGGTTTCACAAAGCATGATTGTGCTGCAGATGGTGGTTAACCTGCAGTTATTAGAATGAGAAAATAAGGTTACCTTATTTCATTACATGTATAGTAAGTAAGTAAGTGTGTGTGTGTGTGTGTGGGGGGAGGGGGGTGCTAATCATCTCCTGCAGCTGAGAGCTAAGCTAAATAGCGAGGGATGCAGCTCAACCTGATCATAGGCAATCCAGAAGACATCTGTCTTCTGGATTGCCTATGACCTGATCGAGTTCAAGGCTTTCAAAGGGCACCTCTGGCAACCACCCCATGACACAAATCTGATCATGGAGCACAGCTACGGTGGAAACTCCAGTTGGGGGGGGGGGGGTTAATCCCAACCTACACTGTCAACCTTCCCTGTGGGAGGTAACTGGAATACCTGGAGAAAACCCAAGACGTTCGCGGGACCGTTGACTGACTCTTTTCAGTTTTGTTAACAAGCTTCCTACAAACCTATTGCAAACACAACTTGTTGACAAGTTGTTGGAACACCAATGTCACAACTTGTTAACAAGCTTGCTACAAACATATTGCAAACACATCTTGTTGACAAGTTGTTGGAACACCAATGTCACAACTTGTTAACAAGCTTGCTACAAACCTGTTGAGGAAACATCTTGTTGACAAGTTGTTGGAACAGCATTGTCACAGCTTGTTGACAAGTTGTTGGAACAGCATTGTCACAGCTTGTTAACAAGCTTGCTATAAACCTATTGCAAACATATCTTGTTGACAAGTTGTTGGAACAGCATTGTCACAGCTTGTTAACAAGCTTGCTATAAACCTATTGAGGAAACATCTTGTTGACAAGTTGTTGAAACACCAATGTCACAACTTGTTAACAAGCTTGCTACAAACCTGTTGCAAACACATCTTGTTGACAAGTTGCTGGAACAACATTGTCACAACTTGTTAACAAGCTTGCTACAAACCTGTTGAGGAAACATCTTGTTGACAAGTTGCTGGAACAACATTGTCACAACTTGTTAACAAGCTTGCTACAAACCTGTTGAGGAAATATCTTGTTGACAAGTTGTTGGAACAGCATTGTCACAGTTTGTTAACAAGCTTGCTATAAACCTATTGCAAACATATCTTGTTGACAAGTTGTTGGAACAACATTGTCACAACTTGTTAACAAGCTTGCTACAAACCTGTTGAGGGGACATCTTGTTGACAAGTTGTTAGAACAGCATTGTCACAACTTGTTAACAAGCTTGCTACAAACCTATTGCAAACATATCTTGTTGACAAGTTGTTGGAACAGCATTGTCACAGCTTGTTAACAAGCTTGCTACAAACCTGTTGAGGAGACATCTTGTTGACAAGTTGTTGGAACAGCATTGTCACAACTTGTTAACAAGCTTGCTACAAACCTGTTGAGGAGACATCTTGTTGACAAGTTGTTGGAACAGCATTGTCATAGCCTGCTTGCCGCCTAATAATCCCCCCTTGGAAATTCCAGGCGGCAAGCAGGCTATGTCACAACTTGTTAACAAACTTGCTACAAACCTGTTGCAAAAAATATTGTTGACAAGTTGTTGGAACAGCATTGTCACAACTTTCTCTTTCTTTTTCTTTCTATTGTCACAAATTTTCAACTTATAAATAACAAATGATATTTTCGGAAAATGTTCTGTGCGTGGAACATTTTCCTGAGTGGAAATGGGCCTTCGGAGGTGAAAGGCGCTTTCTCTGTCGGTTGCGCGACCGAAGCCCCAGTTAACCTTATTTTCTCTATTAGCGTGCGTTTTTTGTCACGTAGGCGTAGTAGATTTAGATATGAGAGGCGCGTCTGCATGTACAGTACCTTCCTGAGAACACTGGCTGAGTCTCTTGCTGCATATACTGTACAGAGACAGTTACGGTGACAATGTTTAGCGCTTGGATATAACTGAACAACAGAACGGACTTCACTTCATCTAAAAAAAATTAATATTTTCTGAACGGACACTAGTCGATACATGCAGGGATAGCTCGGAATGTGTCATAGTCATTAGATAGTGTAATTTATATTGTGACAAAGTTTATAAAATTTAAAAAAAATTAAAAAGTTAGTACAACTAAGACTAAGAAATAGACTAACAAATGTCTTGGTTAATATGCAGTAGTCCTTGGATCAACTGCCGATCGATCATAGGGCTACCAGATCGCGATCGAACCGCAACCGAAGCTCGTTTTCCACCAGTTTTCCGAAGCGAAGCCTTGAAACGTCGAAGTTCTCCTTGTATTTTTCCGATAGTTGCATGCATCCCTACCACTCCGAAGCTTTCTTATTATTGGCATTACCTACTAGAGGTGTGCAAATCCGATCCGAATCCGATCCGATCGGATTCGTTCGGATTTCGGAACAAAAATATACATTTCGGATCGGATCGATAAAGTTGTTTCGTAGTCGGATCGGACTTCCGTATTCGAAATAAAATGAATTAATTATCCACGCATTTATCAAAGCATTATCGCGGTTGTCTCCCATAGAAATAATAGACATAGAATGCGTGCTCAGTTGAAAAAAACAATTCGCACTCCCTGCAACCGCGCGAAATTCCTTACCTCAGGAGTCTGGGACCAACCAAAATACCCTTTTCAATGCGCCATTTTGTGGAGACAAATTTTTTACTGAGAAAAGATAGCAGCACGCATTCTATGTCTAATATTTCTATTTTGTCGCTGCATTATTCGTTTGATACTTCAATTGGACGTCACTTTGTCAGCTTCTTGACATGTATTTCTTGCTTTTATATTTATTTGGTTAACTACATGAATGAAAAATTTATTTTATTAAAGGATTCTTCGGATCGGATCGGAATTCTTTATCAAAGCTCGGATCCGATTCGGATTAGACAATTTCGGATCGGATTTTAAACATTAGCCAATTGTCGGATTATAAACGTCCAATCCTATCCGATGCATACCTCTATTACCTACACTGGCACAGAGCCACAGACCGTTGCATTTTTTACTACGTTATTTGAATTGGATATGACAGTATGATACGATGTCCATGTCACAGTCACATCAACATCGAAAGGAGGTTGGGGGCGGGGGGGGAGGGGGGGGGATAGGGTATAGGGGATCTACACACCTTTGCATATCAACTCGAATTGGACTTGCAAAGGATGTTTCTTCAAAGATGTTTTGATTTTTTCTTCCGCACAGAGTTCTTCAGTAGTTCGACGGTGATGCCGTTTCTGAAACGAGAAGATTTGAAAATATGTAGACCATCCATGCAGAGTTCTTCACTACAAAATCAAGGTTATGATCGTTTTAAGAACCTTGGGCTGTTCTTCAGCTTCGTCTTCTTCGTTCTTTTCATTTTTCTCCTCAAAATCAACATCTACAACACCTGGAGAAAGAACGATGGTAATAAAATGGGCAATTACAGCTATAGACTAAATTTTGATCTAGGCAAGAAAAACAAAATCCATGGCCACAGCTAGTATGAAATTCGCTCCACGGATATTTTAAAGAAATTAAATTGGAGAACACTCGAAGAGAGAAGAAAGGAGCAAAAATTAGCATATGTGGCCAAAGCCCTTTCAAACCAATGTCCTGAAAACGTTTCAACTATGTTTAAAATCTCAAATTCTGATAAATATAATTTAAGAAGTAATAACAAGATGCTGATGTTGTCGAAGCCTAAAACAAATTCAATGAAAAGGACATTCGGATATGCTGCTGCTAAAGACTGGAACTATAATAGTAAAAATTTTAAATCTACTTAATTCATTTGTAATATATATATTTAACGTATCGCTTCGACCCAAACATTTCTTAGTATCTTTTAATATTTTTATAATAGTTTATATAATAGTATTTCGAGTTTTAATTTGTATTTAGTAACACGGCCTAATGAAAAACAACCTTTATAATTTTTGTAAATAATGATAGGTAATATGGTTGATTAGTTACCGTGTATAAAGATGTTGTAATAATAATAATAATAATGTTAACATTAGTAAAATTGCAAAGTTTGGTTGCGAAATGTTGTAAAATGCGGAAAATAGAGCTCTACGAAAGTTGCAAATTTTGTATTAATTTGTATTACGCACGGGAAATGCACCACTTTCGGCCCAAATGTGATGCATTTTCTCGCGCGTAATACAAATTAATACAAAATTTGCAACTTTCGTAGGGCGTAGTTTCCGCATTTTACAACATTTCGCAACCAAACTTTGCAATTTTACTCATTTTAACATGCTCTTTCTAGCTGTGGTGGCGGATTTTGTTTTTCTTGGCCTAGATAAAAATTTAGTCTATAGAATCATCCATTATAACTTGTTTTGGCTACTAGCAAACACGTGCCATCTGTACTTTAGGTTTCACTGTTACTGGCAAAAAGTGCAAGCCACTAGCAAAATTTATCAATATTTGCCCATCTATTTCACGAATATGCGTTAATAAAATCGTTGACCGTAATACATAGCTGGCACAGCCGAAGGGTCGTCAGAGACTCGCAAATAAAAATCATATTTCCGAAACTTTTAATTGCTCAATTTACCCGAATAAAGTGCACATTCGCAAAAGTTTGTTAGAGAAATGTTTTTTTTTCCTAATTCCTACTAAAGGCTAATTTACTCGCACTTTACGAGCATTACGTAAGTTCGACGGCTTGTTGGTGCATCAGTCTTTATTATACGTACCCGTAGCGTGGCTCTTCAATGTTGGTAGTGTTTCATTTCGAAAGCGTTAGCAAGCAGGGGGGGGGGGGTGAAAGCCCCCAAATAATTTCTAAAAGCCTTTGAACGATAACTGCATGTCGAATAACTGTGTAACAAAGCTGTAGCAATAATTTTTCAACCATGCAGGCATTGGTAGCAATGGTAGGCTACAAATTAAGCTAAATATCACATGAAGTGTTAAGGCAAAATAGTTTAGAAAACTACGATTTCCAGCAACAAAATGTCGTCATACATAGATGTTGATCCGAAATCCCCCCCCTGAAATTTTTTTGCAAGTGTTCCTCACTGCTACTCTACCTGGCTTATCGTCTATCGCAGCCTTAGCCGCTTCAACATCTCCAATGATTTCCACTTTCAGCTGTGGATCTACAAAAATATATTGTTCAGTCATGACCCTGAGGAAGCGTTTGTTGGTTTCCCTAAACAGTTCAAAGTATAGACAAATTTCTCCTACCACACGCCTCTTGGTATGCCATTGATTGAACAAACAGAACATAAAGTGGTCTAAAAAAACAAACGTTTAATTGAATATACAATATATATAAAGTTTGCTTGAAACATCGAAGTATTTTTCAGACACAAGCCACAGCAGCAACTGATAAAACGCACCTCGGTAAATATTTCGCTGTTTGGTACTGAAGCCTTTTGCTCTCTAACTGCACTCCTAGAAATTCTTGTATCGGCGAAGTGGCCTTTAAGAAATCGACACTT